GAAGCTGCTCCCGGTTCAAACTGTGTGAAAGCAGCAGAAAGCTGTGGATGTGTGGAGGAGGACATAGAGGATGAGGAGGAAATGAGCGATGAGGAAAATGACTATGACGACCTATCACAGGCCTGTGACCACGCCGTCTACATACATGAACACCAGGAGGACACGTTTCAGAACTTGTAAACGTCGGCTGATCAGACGGGCTGGGTTAATTCTATTGAATAAAAGGACTGAACTTTGGGCACATCTTTGAAGGTTTGACACATCTGACAGGAACGTGTCAGATTTTTTAGTTTTTGACTTTCGCCATGGAGTAAAAAAAAAATCTGATTCTCGCATGAATAATGATGTCAGACGTCACTTTTAGGAGTCCACTATTACTCATAAATAAAGAAACAATCAGGAAACTAGACTGGTAGCCACTAAATAATCACTGATAACATGTGGAGATGCTCCAATCGCAGCTCATCTGAGTTTCATGTTGTCAATTCGAGACAGACATCAAGTGGCATACAGATTTGCTTCAAAGAGTCCATCCATCCATCATCCATCTTCTATCATCCATCCATATTCATCCATCCATCCATCTTCCATCATCCATCCATCCATCCATCCATCCATATTCATCCATCTTCCATCATCAACTATCCATCTTCCATCATCCACGATCCATCTTCCATATCCATCCATCATTAATCCATCCATGCATCCATCCATCTTCCATCATCCATCCATCCATCCATCTTCCATCATCCATCCATCCATCCATCCATCTTCCATCATCCATCCTTCCATCCATCCATCCATCCATCCATCCATCCATCCATCCATCCATCTGTTTTAAAACGTCAACCATCTGGGTTGTAATTTACAAAAACAAAACTCAAGCAAAACAGATTAGACTTCCATCCATCATCACTATTCCTTCATCCATCCATCCATTACAAAAGCAAACTTCAAGCAATATAGATTTGACTTTTGATTTCTCTGAATGGCTATCAGTGCTTGCTTTGTAAAGTTGGAAAATGTAGATATCACACATAACGTTTCCATGTTAAACAGGTGCCTTAGAAGTCCCTTTAAACCAGGTTTCACCTGTAAGCCACTCTCTACATCCTATTAATCAAATAAAGACAGTAAAAATTAGACCAACGGACAATTTCTTTTGGCAGCTGGACACCAACAGCTCCATAAGTGGCAGTAAAAGCATGTCTCTTTCCAAATGTTTCATGTGCTTCTTGACCAATTCAATATGTAGATAAAAGCTTTCATCATGTTCTACAATTGTGCATCCTGTTGTCACTTATTGT